GACTGTACCCCAGTGAGAGTCAGTGTGTGTGGGACTGTACCCCAGTGGGTGTGTGAGTGATTACAGCTTACTCGTGCCGAAGTCCACAGTCGAGTAGAGCCTCTGTAAGGTGCCGCAGTACAGGTCCTGTAGCTGGTTCCCATCAGTGGTGAAAAGTAAGACATCCTCACCCAGGAATTTGCGCATGACCTCACGAAGATGCCGCAGGTAATTATAATCACATGTGAAATAACTCCCATACTCATTCTCCACCTGCAAAAGGAGCAAAGACATCCTCAGGTCAGTTAGAGTGTGTACCAGGTGGACAGAGAGCTTAGCCATGAATGGAGGGTGCTTCAGTATGTTAGGGTCAGCCGTTTAGGGGAGGGGGCCTCGAACCATCCACTCTCACCTGAAAACTGATGATAGGGCCTCCATTCTGGTACATTAAGGGTTTCATCTTTGGTAATAGAACTGCAAACCACCTATCCACTGCTGCCAGGTAATCTGAGAGAGATGACAATTTATCATCATGTTATCATCAGTCTGAACTCGCCATGTCTTTTCAACCTTTTACCCAGTTCCCTTCTGAAAGTCATTCTTGAACAAGGCTGCACAACGTTATGATTCACTTGGAGAACAGACTCTACTCCAGGCACTAATTGAAGTTCATAAAGTCCTCATTTACCGGTCTGTTGGAGTCAGGCTCACCGAAAATATCGACAAGGTTCCCGTTCTTAATAATAGGGTTGGCATGGTGGCTCAGTGGTTAGCACTGCTGCCTCACTGAGCCTGGAACCCATGTTCAATTCCACCCTCAGTTGACTGTCTGTGTGGAGTTTGCACATTCTCCCCGTGTCTGCGTGGGTTTCCTCCGGGTGCTCCGGTTTCCTCCCACAGTCCAAAGACGTGCAGGCTAGGGTGGATTGGCCATGCTAAATTGCCCCTAGTATTCAGGGATGTGTAGATTAGATGGGTTATAGGGGATGGGTCTGGGTGGGATGCTGTGAGGGTCGGTATGGACTTGTTGGGCCAAAAGGGCCTGTTTCCACACTGTAGGGATTCTATGATTCAATGAAGAACTACCGTTTCTTACAAATAAGTAAATTCTAATCTCAAGTAATCTCTAAGAATTTATCAAAATGTGGCTCTACTCATTAAAACCCCTCCATACACATACAGACAGACAAACACAGACAGACACACACAGACAGACACACACAGACAGACACACACAGACAGACACACACAGACAGACACACACAGACAGACACAGACAGACAGACACAGACAGACAGACACAGACAGAAAGGCATTGGTTTTATGGGTGGAGGGAAAAAAAACCTGGGAAAACACAGTCCAGTAGCACCCAGTCCAAGGATTCATTAAGACATTCCTTTTGACTTACCAGGACTTCCTATTCTCCAATCCCCTTTCTCCCTGTTCTTTCATTTCTTTGCAGGATGCGCCAGGCAGTTGGTATTTTAGCTACAAAGTCTCTTAGTTATTGGTTAAAGGCTACAGCTGACAAAAACTGGTACAGGAAAAGAAAAACTGGCTTTTTTTTAGGCCTTGGGTATTTGCAGAGAAATAGAGCCACACACAAAGCCTGTCCTTCCTGCAGCCTGAAGGCTTCTCCCTGTGTCATTCACACACAGTTTTGAGGAAGGGTCACTGGACCCGAAATATTAACTCTGTTTTTTTCCTTCACAGATGCTGCCAGAGCTGCTGAGCTTTTCCAGCAACTTTGTTTTTGTTCCTGTGTTTGTAACTGTTAAGTTCCTCGTTCTCTTTTATGTTCCGATTCACAATTATTTCTGGGATGTTATTTGAATCCTCTACAGTGAAGACAGATGCAAAATAGCCTTTCAAATCATCTGCCATTTCCTTATTGCCCATTATTAATTCTCCAGTCTGACTCTATAAAGGACAGATATTCACTTCACTCTTTTCCTTTTCATGTACTTGTAGAAAAACTTACTGGCTGTTCTTATATTTAGAACAAAGAACAAAGAAACTTACAGCACAGAAACAGGCCCTTCGGCCCTCCAAGCATGCACCGAATGCTGCCCGTCACAACTAATACTCCCTACACTTCCGGGGACCGTATCCCTCTAAAGGCGCCCTTTAAAAGTCACTATAGTATCTGGTTCCACTACCTCCCCCGGCAACGAGTTCCAGGCACCCACCACCCTCTGTGTAAAATACTTGCCTCGTACATCACCTTTAAACCTTGCCCCACGCACCTTAAACCTCTGGCCCCTGGTGACTGACTCTTCCACCCTGGGAAAAAACTTCTGACTGTCCACTCTTGCTAGCTTTCTCTTATACTCTGCCTCCTTATTAATCTTCAAGTCATTCTTTGTTGTTCCTCATATTTTGTCCAATTTCCTGACCTGCCACTCATCTGAATAATTAATACTTTTAGTTTAATACTATTCTTAACTTCCTTTGCTAGCCAATGAATGGCATCCCTCCCTTAGAATCTTTCCACATGATTGAATGCATGTTTTAATATCTGTACCTCTACCGACCTAACCCTTAATCTCATTTCCCAGCTCTCTACCCAGCTGACTTCTGGCCCTCAGAATTGCCCTAATTTAAAACACCAGTCTTAGATCCACTCTTCCTGCCATCAACCAGAATGTGAAATTCAATCTATACTTCAGAAGATTTGGACAGATCTTTGCTCGTTTCCACTTTAGATAAATTTTCAGTGTATTCTGAACTACTAAACAGAAACACCAGGTGATCCAACCCCTTTGCTATTCGCCTTCTATTTACTCTTCGGGACTCAGCTGTTCAGCCCCATTGCTTGTGGGTATTTCTTAGAACCTAAAAGTGATATGTTCAGAAAACGAATCAGGGAATCTCTTTCAGAATACCTTCCCTCTTAAAGAGACATAACTCAAAATAGTGTCCAGGTTTTCCCAGTACACAGCCCACCATTGTACATATATTTCAGTCTCAGTCTCTACCTTACATTTGCCTCCAGTTAGATCTAATTTCTAAACTATTGTAAACACCGGTAGTAGGGAAACTATTGGAGAAAATTCTGAAGGAGAGGTAAAAGCTCGTGGGATCCAGGGTAACCTGACAGGTTGGATCCTAAAGGGTGGCACGGTGGCACAGTGGCTCAGTGGTTAGCACTGTTGCCTCACAGCGCCATGGACCTGGGTTCGATTCCACCCTCGGGTAACTGTCTGTGTGGAGTTTGCACATTCTCCCGATGTCTGCGTGGGTTTCCTCCGGGTGCTCCGGTTTCCTCCCACAGTCCAAAGGTGTACAGGGTAGGTGGGTTGGCCCTTGGGAAATTGCCCGTAGTGTTCAGGAATGTGTAGATTACATGGGTTATAGGGGGATGGGTCTGGGGGTCGGTGTGGACTTGTTGGGCCAAAGGGCCTGTTTCCACACTGTAGTGATTCGATGATAAATTAGAGTCAGAGGGTGGCGGCAGAAGACTGTTTGTGTGACTGGAGCCCGATGTGCAGTGGTGTACCACAGGGATCACTGCTAGGTTTCTTATTGTTTGTGTTGTTCATAAACTATGGAGATGAGAAGTAAGTTTGCAGATTACACAAAGATTTACCAGTTGACAGTGAGGAAGGTGGTCTTTGGTTGCAGAAGGATATAGATAGATCAGTCAGATGGACTAATCAGTAGCTGATGAATTCAGGAACAAAAACAGAAAAGCTCAGCAGGTCTGGCAGCATCTATGGAGAAAAATCAGAGTTAACATTTTGGGTCTGGTGACCCTTCCTCAGAAATGATGGTGGCTGGGGAAACCTCCATTTATATGCAGAAAATAGAGAGGGGGATGGGATGGGATGGGATGGGATGGGATGGGATGGGGAGTAAACGATAGGATAGAGTCCGAAGAGAGAGAAGAGCAGTTGGATATACAAAAGAGTTGATAACAAATTTACCCTTGATAAATATGAGATGATGCACTTTGGAAGAAGTATCAAGACAAGGGAGTAGTCAATGAATGGTAGGACATGAGAAAGCACCATAAACAGGCATCTTGGGGTGTTAGTTGACAGATCCATGAGGGGGACAGGCCAGGGTAATATGGTAGTTAAGAAGGCATATGGGACACTTGCCTTTGTCAACATGACATAGATTATAAGAGCAGAGAGGTTATGTTAGAGCAGTACAAAACTTTAGTCAGACCACAGCTGGAGTACTGTGTGCAGTTCTGGTCCCCACATTATAGGAAGGATGCGCTTGCAGTGGAGGGGGTGCCAAGGAGATTCACAGAGATATTGCCTGGGATGGAGCAGTTCAGCGATGGAGAGGGGCTGGATAAGCTCGGGTTGTTTTCTTTGGACCAAACAGCATTGACTGGGGATCTGATAGAGATATATAAGATTATGAAGGACATGGACAGGATGAATAGAATGCAGTTGAAGGGTCAGTAATACAGGAATGTAATTTTAAAGCGAGAGGCAGGAGGTTTAGAGGGGATCTGAATTTTGTTTTTCATTCAGAGGGTGGTGGGAATCTGGAATGCACTGCCTGGGAGGCTAGTTGAGGTGGGAAACCTCATAACCTTTAAAAAGTACTGGGATAAGCACCTGAAAGTGCCATAACATTCAAGGCTCAGGGCCAAGTGCTGGAAACTGGGACATATGCAGATTAGGTTGATTTTGTTGCTGCAGGCTCGATGGGCCAAAGGGCCTCTTTTGTACTGTATGGTTGTGAGTGCTCAGTACTTTATTCATCTTTTGCTCTAATTATTTCATTCTTGGGCCCATATCTTGCCAAACTATTTTCCCCTCAGTGTCCCAGTGTAGAACAAACTCTTTCTACCTGGATCAGAAGATCGTAAACTGATTGTTGAATTTTGCAGAAGCCAAGCTGGAAGACCACCCTGAAAACAAACAAAAACAAATGGTAAACCAGAAGGCTGCACCTTAAATCCCAGCCAGTGCCCGACAGTGAGAAGGGAGACCAGGGTCTCAGCTGACCGGATTTGGGGAGGGGAGGTGGGGGGGCAGTAGAAGCCCGGTTCCCCTCCCACTCTATGGCTGGGTTTGGCTACACCCCACCCACTTCAGTCAGGGCTCAGTTATCCCAGCCTGGCAGAGCTTAGCCCCCCGGTAACATTCCTCTCCTAGCCACCGTGTCCAAACCCCTTCATTTAGCAGACTCTGTTCCTGACCCCAACTCCTGTAAGCCAGACCGCATCCCCAGATTACATCCCCATGACCCTTAAGCTCCCAGGATGACAGCACGCATAGTGTTTTAACGGTTCTCACCAGATCCCACTCAGCACAGATGTAGGGTCCAGGACGCAGAATGACAAACAGACCTATCTCCTGAGCAAGGCTCAGAAAATACACAATATCTTTGGCGTTGCTGAAGTCATATTCTCCAGGGGTCGTCTCGTGGTAATTCCAGGCAACATACCTGATGAGGTGAATGACAGGACAGAACAACAAATACAAAATTATTTATTGTCCAGGTGAAAAGATCCACACAATCCCACAACTGCCAACTTGAAACAATTCCACAATCCCGGTATTTACCATTAATGTTACAAACTGGAAACTCATTGAGGATTCAATATGCAGGTCACTATCGTTGACTGTGCTATCGAGCAGCACTTGCTCAGAAATAACCTGCTCAGCGACGCCCAGTTTGGGTTCCGCCAGGGCCACTCAGCTCCTGACCTCATTACAGCCTTGGTTCAAACATGGACAACAGAGCTGAATTCCAGAGAGTGAGGTGAGAGTGACAGGCCTTAGTATCAAGGCTGCATCAAGGTGCCCTGGCAAAACTGGAATCAATGAGAACCAGGAGCAAACTCTCTGCTGGTTGGAGTCACACCTGTTACATAGGAAGATGGTCGTGGTTGTGGGAGGTCAATCATCTCAGCTCCAAGGCATCTCTGCAGGAGTACCTCAGGGTAGTGTCCTAGACCCAAATCATCTTCAGCTGCTTCATCAATGACCTTCCCTCCATCATAAGGTCAGAAGTGGGGATGTCGCTGATGATTGCAATGTTCAGCACCATTCGTGACTCCTCAGATACTGAAGCAGACCATGTTCACATGCAACAAGCTGACAAGTGACAAATAACATTGACTCCATACAAATGCCAGGCAATATCCATCTCCAATAAGAGACAATCTAACCACCGCCCCTTGACATTCAATGGTGTTACCATCACTGAATCCCCCACTATCAACATCCGGGGGGTTACCATTGACCAGAAACTGAACTGGACTAGCCAAATAAATAGTGGCTGTAAGAGCAGGTCAGGCGCTAGGAATCCGGCAGCAAGTAACACATCTCCTGACTCCCCATAGCCTGCCCACCACATACAAAGTATAAGTCAGGAGTGTGATGGAATACTCCCCACTTGTCTGGATGGGTTCAGCTCCAACAACATTCAAGAAACAACCACCGTCCAGGACAAAGCGGCCCGCTTGACTGGCACCACATCCACAAGCATCCACTCCCTCCACCACCGACGCTCAGTAGCAGCAGTGTGTACCATCTACAAGATGCACTGCAGAAATTCACCAAAGATCCTCAG